ATTATTTATATCCAGGTTAGATTTTATATACTGGCTGCAAAGTTTACAAGTTTCGTTTCCACATTGGAGTCATTGTTCGAGGTTAAATTCATCAATCTCATCTCACATCGAAGTCACTCAATACATTTTGCCAGTAAATGCAAGCAGTTCACAACATAAAAAATAAAGCATATGAAAAATAAAATTTCCACTCACATAGCCAAGCAGTGCTGATGTAACCAAGAACATAAATCCCGTAAGCGTAATCTTAAGAAAAAAAAATAAGAAAATAAATGAACAAGAAAAGTGAGAAAAATAATTCGTACTCAATTACTCATACACGTTCATGCAAGAATCAAAATTTTAAGCACTGAGTAAAGATAACATACCATGTTTGGTCTGCAGAAGATCCAGAGGCAAACAAGTACATGCAGACATGTATGTTGGTATCAGCATTATCATAAAGAAAGAAAATACTTAACTTGCATTAAGAAGAGTCACTATATAAGAGTAAACAAGATGGAATAATAGCAGTAGTATTCCCTCTGAATGTGAAAACATTTCTTCCTGTAAATAACTAAATATGGAATGTTAAATTGTCAACTAAAGCAGGATACAGTAAATAAACCCAATCTAGTTCTTTACTCTGACTCTCAGTACAAACATGTTCAAAAACTATGAAGAACACAAGATCAATTGTACCAAATCTAAAACCCCAGATAGCTTAAAAGCCTAATTTCAAAGAAAATCAGATACTTAGAGAGAAAAAAAAAATTAAGTTTGTTATGAAGCCAAAATTACTTAGAGAGTCTGCAAGGAAAGCACTTACGGCATCCAAAGTGGGAAGAAATTGACAAAACGGCTCCAAAATGGTTGCAACACATATTTAGAAAGGTAAGAGTGATCTACACCACTGTACTTGTATCTGTGAAGAGCTGCAACGCCATGTGCTCCTACATACCCCATTCTTCCTTTGATTTTATCTAATTCCTGTATTAAGCATCAGAAAAACCCAATCAAATCGAAGAGAAACCGTCCGATACCAGTGATTCAAAAACAGGTTAGCTAAAAACATCCAAGTCATTGAAATCAACAACAAAAAAGTATTAAACTAAATTAAATGACTGCGTGGATGACATCAAAGTTCCAATCCACAGTGAAGAAGATTACTTGAAAGGTGTAGAAAATTTTAACAGCTAAGGAACTAGAGCTATGGATTCGTGAAAATATGAACAAGAATGGATTAGGAGATGAAAAGCATGAAAGCATGAACAGGATGGTCAATAAATTGAAATGAAAGCAGATCTGAGACGGAAATGGAGGAATTAACGTGAAATGGAAATGAGAAGGAGAAAGAAAAGCAGGAGCCGCCATAGCTATACCTCCGTGAAGCAGGAGAGAGAGAAAACGAATCAAGAGTTGCAGAGTACAAATTTAGGAGGGGAAACAGGGAAAGGGGTGAGTTTATATCTCCCGCCCTGAAACAAAAATGAAAAGAGCGAAAGTGCAATATGAAGGAGCAGAATCGAATCAAAATATTTTTAATTGCAAATTCCTAAAAAGGTTTAAAAAAAAAAGGACTTATTTTAATGAAAAATATATTTAAATTCTATAATACAGATTATATATTAAAAATATAATTTATCTTATAAATTTATTTAAATACTTTTTAAATAAAATATTATTAAAAAATATTTAAATAAATTTATAAGATAAATTATATTTTTAATATATAATTTAACTTGTAGAATATTTTTTAAAATTAAAAAATATATATATTTAAAGTAAAAACTATCTTAATGGATTGTAAGATCAAAATCATCAAAGAAGGTAAACCTCTAATATTGAGCCTATCTTCTCTCTTTTTTTATGATCTTGATCTTACAGTCTACTTCAGGACGGACTGTAAGACAAAAACCTCATTTTTAAATAAATATTGGAGTATAAAATATTCTTGTGAAAGTTTGTATTTTTTATTTTTTAATGTTTGAAGCTAAATAAAAGCCTTTATTTTTATGAAATATTGAATTTGTTGTTTTCTCAAATTTTATTCAAAAATTATTTTAAAAGTTAAATTTTAACTTTTACTCTAATAAAATTTTACAAATAATTTGTAAGAGAAAATTTGACGGTGCTTTGTGAATTTAAGAAGTCAAAAATATTCCCAATATCAACAACAATGGAAACACGAAATTGCCTAAACGCCTTTCATGTTTTCAATATTTAAATAAAAATGTGTTTTACTGTGTAAAAATGCAACTTGACCTATAAAACTATTAATGTTTTTAGAGATTAATGTTTATTAATTAGATCTTTATAAAATAAGTATTTCAATAAAGTACTATAAAAAATCATAATAATATTTTTCTTATTTTTTCTTAATAATCATTTTTCTTGTGTCATTAATGACTTTTCTTTTATATTAATTCATTGATAATACTCTAAACTTTTAAAATATGAACTAAACTTTTTCATATGTAGTTTGAAATGAAAAATAAAATTTAATAAACACTAAGTATTTTATGAGTTGAAAGTGAGAGTGAGAATCCACGCATTTCTGAAAAAAGAAAGAAGAAGAAGAAGAAGAAAAAAAAAACACCTTAGATTATCTTTCTAGTTTCTTAGGGCAATGGAGCCGTTGAAAGAGAGAGTAAGAATTCACTAATTTCTGGGAAAAAAAAAAGGTTTGAATTATCTTTCTAATTTTCTAGCAAAATAGGACCTTATGTGTAATTTAAGATTCACTACTTCGTAAAAGAGAAATTAGATTCCTTTAACATACTATAGTATCAATAACATTTGCAAAAGTATATATGGAATTCCAAGTAATTTAAAACTGATCGATTTTGAAATTGTACTGTGTTTTGTCACTGTACCCATGTAAGTGTTTCAAAAAAATAATAATAATAACATTTGCAAAGAAGAAGAAACTAAAAATAGGAAGCGATAGCTAAGCATTAGGTTTGATCATCTCAAAAGCATATTCTTTTGTTTTTTTTATGTTTGAGTCTCTATTCTTTCTTTTGCTTTTTACTTCCATTTCATTTTTTATTTTATGATAGTATCATTGCTCGTTATCATTCTTCACTACTTTTCCAAATAACATGTTTATTTATTTATTTATTTACTTTTTAAACAGAGAGAATTTTCAGAAAAAAGGGATAATAAGACATGAGAATAGAACTTAAATCATTATGATAGCATCATTGCTTGTTATCATTCTTCACTACTTTCCAAATAACATGTTTATTTATTTATTTATTTTTTAAACAAAGAGAATTTTCAAGAAAAAGAGATAGTAAAACTTGAGAATAGAACTTAAGTCATTATGTCCAACCACACCCTTCAAAGGGGTAACTATTAGACCACCAAAGGTTGGATAGGTTAAGTTCTTTTATTAAAAAAAAAAAAAATCTAATTTGCATAATTGAAAGGAGCATGTAGGCATGTCTTAATCTCTCACCGTCTGTCTTTAGGTTGTTTTGCTTTCCTTTGCTTTCTTTTCCTTTTGGAGAGAAATGGGTTTTGGTAATATAACAATTTTCACGGATCTTATGTGTTTTTAAGGAACGGTCCCCCCAAACCTAATCTCAACAACATATACAAACTTTTTTATTGAGCAATCTTCAACTTGATCTACGCTCCACCATTTCTGCTTTAAAACAAACACATCAATTCAAATTTTAAATAGCTAAACAGTTGAGTTACCTAAAAAGTAGGAAGCCTTGATTTAAGGGGGTATTATTGTTTTATCCTCATTCCTCACTTTGACCAAATCTTTGAACCTTACTCTTCCATCATTCATACAAGTATACCCATAAATCCTGTGTTCTTACTCTATCAATTAAGCTAAAAAACAAACTAAAAACTATTTGACTCCCCTAACATTTATTAATCACAACAAAAAAAAACCCAAATACTTGTATGTGCAAATTTTAAATTAAAGTTTTTATGTTTATATTTTGAAAGATGTTGTGACTTGTGAGTATTTAAAAAAATAAGATATATAGTGTTATCTCATGTTATAGATACCACATCAACTAGTATCTTCGTCATATAGTCGAATTTTTCCATGTTATACACTATGAATTTGCATTTATGTTTAATAACTATAATTAATTAAATGAGGCTTAAATAAACACGAGGGGTTGCTTTTTGCATGTTGCGAGTTGGGTGGACATATGTTTTTAATTTGCATTGTTATGGGCAGTGATTCAACTGAGATCTAGCACACAGTCCAATGGTCACCATTTCTGAGACTTTGACTGCCTTTGCTTGCATTCTTTGGATTTGTTATTTGTTAATGTTTCTCCACATGACCAAAGAAAAAATAAACAAGTGCTTAGTGTGTTATTTTACTCTCCAGCTCCTGCTGTCCAATGGCTGGCAGCTCCAGCAAACTTGATCTTCTTTTTGGTTGGCCTAGGGCACATTAAATAAACTTAATTTTCTGACTTTCTTCCCTTTTAATTATGACTTGGTTTTTGATATAAACAGCCTGTGTGGGATGAGATTTAGGTACCAGGAATTAATCTAATCCTTTTCAGCTTCACTATGCTTTTTACTTGTTTTAGCTTCTCATCTTGGAGAGACACATACGAGGCCATACGGGAGTATATTAAGAGATTTTGGAACGAGTAAGAGTGTAAGACTTCTGCATGGGAGGTGTTTGATTTGAACCCTAAAATGGATGAGGATGGGCTTGAGATACTAACATTGGGTAATCAAATTTTTTTTTTTTTAAAAAAGTTCATGTAATATATATTAGTTTCCCAAACTGCAAAACATAGAGCCCATCACCAATTCAATCCAATCCAATCCAACAACAAATGTTGTGTAACAGTACAAATATAATTATTTAATTATTTAATCTAAGTCAATTGAATAATTTTAATATAAAGTTTGCATCTAACATAAAATCAATTCATAAGTTGTAAAGTAGTTCTCCTTATTTAACTTGTTAGAAAACCGAAAAGAAGAATAATTTGAAAAAAGGACTATTGTTTTCTTGAATTATACTGTATGTACAATGACTTAATATAAGTGTTTATAAAGAGAATATTCTAAGATATAAAGTATACAAAGAAAATATTTTAAAATATAAAATATTTACAATAATTTTAAATATAATTGTGTTCATGCCTTAACATAACTCATGTTTTTGTTATATACTTGATGTAAAATTTAACAGTAGCTTTTGGTGAGAATTAACCGATCACTTTTCCAACTGGTTGGTTCGGCTAACAACACCTGAAGAACTAGGATTCTTGAACCCAATGAAGGGGTTGTGCCTAGTCACTTGGCGGATGCTGTGGGCACCATGGTTCCACACTGGTCTGGCTGCCTAACTCTAATACTCGGTCACTTCAATGCCTTAATTGGAGTTACTTAGCTATACTTATATCTCAATTCTTATTTTGACATTTTTTTTCTTGTTACAGAATCACAAGCTTGACAAATTGCCGTTCAAAGACATTTATGTGTATATATACTAATAAACAAGAGATGCAATAAGAGCAGGCAATGAATAGCACCAAATGTATAGTAGCTTTGTGATTCTATACAAGGCAGGAAGCCCAAGAGCAACTCTGAAATTAGTGAAATAGAGACTCAATTTTGAACAAATCTCTCTGAACGCACCTAGCTTGAGTGATGATGAACATTCAAGCCCTTCCTTCCCTTCACTGCACAGAGTAGAGCAACAAAAAGTCCCGCTGGGTACTTCCCGTAGAGCTTAAGGTAGCTGAGCATCATGGAAGCGCAGTCATTCATAAGTCATAATCTGATCTAAATAAGGCCATGCAAATTGCTTGAATGCTGCATAACACTGATCACACAGGTATTGAAGCCCTTTGGATTGGTTGTGATGAATGAGTAGTTCAGAACTTTGAACTTAACAGGGCAATCTGCATAAATGAGGCATAGCAAACAAGAAACTTAACATAAAGATTAAAGACCCCCTTTTTTTTTTTTAACATGAAATTTAACATGAGATGATGAATACCTGAAGCAGGAGAAGAAACAGAAAGGTGAATGAAAAGGAAGAGGAATGCAAAGCAGAAGAAGAGGCTCTTCCCATGCATCATCTGCAACCGATTGTTTCTTGATGACTTTGTCAGAGGCAGACCCAAATGAAACCAAAATCTTGCGTCTTCTTCACTTCTCATCTCTCATATCCTTGAAGATTACTTCATTGACCCAGATAGGTTGACCTTGACAAGGGAATTTCATTATTCCGCACTTTCAAATACCCCATCTTTGTTTACTATCAATTTTTTTTTTTTTTTGGGGGCTAAGCTTTGGGATGCTTATTAATTAAAGTTTTTCAAACCATTGTTTTGATACATATTTGTATGCTTCGAGATGGATAGAAATTAAAATTCTATGTTGCCAATTTATAGAAAGAGAGAGAAAAACACAACTTCATAAAATTTAATATGTTCATTCGATCACTTAATTTATAATTTCATTACCCATTTCCAGGAAGACGGACCAAGAGCAAGCAGAGATTAATTAGTAAAGAAAAGAGTGTTGAAAGCACATGGGTTGAACGGGCGCAACTACTTGAATTGGCTGAGATAGAGGGCGGCGGCGGCGGCGTTTCAGGACATGGAATCCCATCCTTCCCTTCTTGGCACAAAGCGGTGAAGCTAGGGGGGTACTTACCGTTAATCAGGAGGTAGCTGTAGAAGGCATCCGCACAGTTAGTAGTGTCGTCATTGATCTGCTCCGCGTAAGGGCAAGCAATTTCCTTCAACGCCGCACAACACCGATCCTTGGGGTACTCCGGCGATTTACATTGGCTTGTGATGATTGTATAATTCAAAAACTCGAAACTAACAGGGCAATCTGTATAATAATTAAGGAACAAAAGTTTATCCCAAGAAAAGGATAAAAACAGAAGGGTTACGGGTATGGAACCTTACCTTTGCGGGCCTGAAGGAGGTTCCTGCCGCCTGAAATATGGGAAGTGGAAGAAGAAGAATGGAAGAGGTGCGTGAAAAAGAAGAGAAGTGCAAAACAGGGGAAGCTCCACTTCCTGATCTTCATTCTTGGTCTGTTCTTCTGTACAATGGGCAGTGAATCAATCCCTGTGGAAGTCTAATTCCTTATCTTCCATTTCCACTGTGGAAGAGTTAATGCCACGGGATTGCATTGACTTGGTTGACTCCTAATTGGGTTTTCTACTTATATTAAGATTTTTTAGTATTAAATTTTTAATCAATGATACATGAGACACTCTTTTACATAAAAATACTTTGAAGATAATTTTTATACTATTGTGTATATAATTTTATATATTATTTAAATGATTAATTATTTTTTATTTATTTAAAATTTATAATATTAAATATATTTATTTATTTAATAAAATATAAACATTATATAAAATAATTATTAAAAAAATATTCTTACATCACCTTCCTTTCTAAATTATTAGACTGCTGACAAGAGTTGGACTTTGAGAATTGAGATTCTGCTACGGCGATCCAAAATAAGGGAACCAAAAGCCCAAAATCCAAAGCAACAGAAACGGATTAGTGATGAATGAGAGCCTATTTCGAAGAGAGTTTTGGGCTGCGCCTGAATAGGCCAACATAAGGTTTGTAAAAGAAATCACTACATTCATCTGTTTTTTTTTTTTTTTTAACATGATTACAATCGAAAAAGAAGATAATAAAAAATTTCATAACGTTTGAAACTATAATTTACAAAAATAATTCCATTAATTTAAAATTAGTATCACTGCATCAGAATGTGCGAATCAATGGTTTTATTGTATTTCTTTATATAAAATTAAAAAATATATATTTAGAGCCTGTTTGGTGCAGCTCCTAGAAACTTCAGCTTTTGGATACTATTTATGTCTCATAAATTTAAATTTTTCTCTTAAAAACTTACACTTTTAAATATTTTTTTAACTTCAAAAAGCTCTTAAACAGTAAAAGTTCAAAAGCTTCAAATCCAAACTTTTCGTAAACTTCCTTTTTACTTACTTTTCACTCCCTTTTTTACTTTCTTAAAAGCTAAAACTCTATTTTTTTTCCAATAAAAATTTAAATTTATCACTTATAACAATACTAAAAAAGCTAAAACTCTCACGAATCACGCCAAACAGTCTTAAAAGGGAATGGAGTAGGCACGTGGTCTTCTGATCTGTTCTGAAAGAAAAAGAATCCACCCACTTGTTTGGATAGATACAAAAAGAGCAGCGT